GCAGAGAACATCTACACATTTCAAAATGCTTTTGTACTTATTTAAGTGAAATAAACATTTATTTTTATGAAAATTATATTTAGATAAAATTAGATACCCTGCTTAGGTCAGTTTTATGGTATTTCTCACTTTTAATTTTTTATTTTATTTGTCAATATTTCATCTTACATAAGCTGGTTTTATTATATTTTAGTTTAAATTTAAAATGAAAACTTGTTGTTGTTTTTTTTGAGATTATTTTAATGACAATGATTTAACCACCATTAGTAGAGTTAAAAATAATGTGGCAAAAAATAAAAAAAAAGATGATATAAATGGCAAAAGATAATTTAAAAAAGATGATGTAAATGACAAAAAAGCCGTTGGCATCGACCATTCAAGCTAATCTTATGTCAAATTTTTAAGATAAAAACTTATTAATAAAAAGACAAACCACCAACTATTTCTGAGCTATCTAGAAAAGTTTAAGATATCAAGAAAGTCAATTAAATGTTACATTGATAAAATGTTGAACTTAAAAAAAGTTTCAAAAGGATCTTTACATGCGTTATTACATTGAGCAATCGAGAGAAAGTTTACAAAATCAGATTTATTAAGAACTATTATTAAAACTGGAAAAAAATCATTACAACTGATGAAAACTATTCTACCTTACTGATTGTGATGAAAAATCCAAACATACTTACATAAATAAACATCAAAAAGCACCGAGAGTACTCTATTATAAAAAGAAAAATTTTCCAAAATCCATCATGGTATTGGTTACAGGGTTTATTCAATAATGTAAAATATAAACTTATAAAACAAGATTGATGATTTGATTATAAATTAAGCATTGTAAACTTATCTATGATAACATAGGCCATCAAATTAAACATTTAAGAAAAAAATTTAGAATAAAAAACTATTGCTTTTTAATTATGTTTCCATTTCAATGTCAAATGACTGTATATATATATATATATATATATATATATATATATATATATATATATATATATATATATATATATATATATATATATATATATATATATATATATATATATATATATATATATACATATATATATATATATATATATATATATATATATATATATATATATATATATATATATATATATATATATATATATATATATATGTATATATATATATATATATATATATATATATATATATATATATATATATATATATATATATATATATATATATATATATATATATATATATATATATATATATATATTTATATATATATTTATATATATATATATATATATATATATATATATATATATATATATATATATATATATATATATATATATATGTATATAAATATATATATATATATATATATATATATATATATATATATATATATATATATGTATATATATATATATATATATATATATATATATAATCGTAATGTTGTAATGTTGCTTCTCTTTCTCTTTTCTACAAATACTATAATGGGCACTGCTCGAAGGAGCTAGCGTCTCTTGTGCCATCTACTAAAATTCATTCTCCTGTTACTCGTCATTCAATCAAGTCTCATCCTTTTTCTGTTACTGTTCCTAAGTGTTCCAAAAACTCTTATTCGTCTAGTTTTTTTCCTCGAACATCAGTTCTTTGGAATTCACTTCCTTCATCTTGCTTTCCTGATTCATATAATTTGCAATCTTTTAAGTCGTCTGTTAATCGTTATTTTGCTCTCCAATTTTCATCTTTTCTCTTCCAGTAACCTCCAACACTAATTAGTGGTTGCTTGCAGCCTTGTTGGAAGCGAAGATAATTTAAAATATATATATATATATATATATATATATATATATATATATATATATATATATATATATATATATATATATATATATATATATATATATATATATATATATATATAATATATAAATGTCTATTATAAAATATTTATATAATTTTTGTGTTCACATTTGTTTATATTTAGATAAGAAAGCACTCAAAGGTGTAATAGTTAAAAAGTTATTTATAAGTATTATAATTAATCATAAAGTTTATTATTTATATTTAGCACAAAAAGAAAATAATTTTTTTTTTTCAAAATTGTAAAACTGTTTTACACTTTTTGAATATAATTTATTATAGTCTATCAAAGTAGATATTCTGCAACAAGAGAAAAAAAAAAGGATTTAAGATAGGTATTGTACTTTGGTTTTTAACAATTTTTAACTTAAGCATGAACAAAAAAATATATTTTTAAAAAAATGATATTAAAGATTGATTATATATTTATTTTTTTAGTGATGACAATGAACCAGATAGGTAAAAATTATTTCATTTATAAATTATTAATTTTCTGTTATGTTTTATTATTTTTTTTAGCTTGATAAAGGTTAGACCTATTTATTAATAAATTCTAAAGTTGATTTTTGAAATCGTTTTATATTAAAAAAATAATTATTTGATAAAATAAGTTTTCATTATAGAATAGGAAATTTGTATAGAA